AAAACATATATAAACCACAAGGAAATTATATAATATAATAAAACAAACAATTCCAAACAAGAACAAACAGAAAAGGGTAATATAATAAAAACAAACGCATAACAGTAATAGTATGATCATGTATTCTCTGTTTGAAACAATAAAATAATATCCTATTTTTATATTTTTCCTTGTTTTATACAAATAAAGAACTGTCACAATCAGGTAATTAGTCAATTCACGCCATTTTAATGCATTCGGGGTAAACAGAAATAACTACCACAAGATTTACAGCAAATTGCAAAGACCCGATATTCTCAAATGAATTCACATAAAGTTTTTTTTAAGAAAAAAATATTTTATTAATAAAAAATATTTTCCAAACTAGAAGTTGCCCGTGATTCAGTCCGCGCTGGATTAAAAAAAATAATAATGAGTAAACCATGTGTCCTTTCAGACTATGTTTTACATTTATGTTAAATTTTAGCGATGGCCATGCAGCCGTTCTGGAGATACCTTCAAACATCCATCCATCCAAACATTCGCATTTTTAATATTAGTAATCTGAATAATAACTTCTCTTGTACAGTCTTCTTAAAAACTTTTCTAAGCTCGAGTAAAATTCCAGTCCTAAATTATTATTAGGGAGCTGTGTTTATACCAGGACAACATAAGTATGTATGTTTGTCTCACGCTCTAATGACCGTTCCTTTCGTTGAGAAAATCGATTTTAACGAACCCTTAAGGCTATGAACTCTTGGTAGCTTCAGATAAAGTCTAATAAAATTTAATAGTAGTTCAAATCATCTTATTTCTTACTAATAATATAAATGTGAATGTATGGATGGATGTATGGATGTTAAAAGGTATCTCCCGAACGGCTGCATGGACATCGCTGAAATTTAACATAAATGTAAAACATAGTGTAACAAAGACACATTAAGTGTTTTTTTTTAATTCTGCACGAACGGAGTCGCCGGCGGCAGTAAGTTATTTGTATAACTTTGTTAATAACATACCTTTTTTTCTTGAATAGATAAATATAGATAAGGAAAAAAACTAAATCCATTTTTTTTACTATGGAAAGGAAAATTAGGAACATAATATATTAATAACTTTCTAAAATTTCCTTACGGCGTGTATAAATGTTACAATTTCAATACTTGTACAGGCCGACGTTATCGTTCGACTTTTATCAAGAAGTTCGTTCGGGCGTTCTCGATAAAAAATATCGATTGAGACATAACAGCTTCTGATATGGACTAAAGTTATTTGAACTCCAGTCATATTTAACAAGGCTTACGAAAGGCTTGTAAAGAAGTTAAACATATAGATTTAGAATAATGATAACAGTATATCTTCTATTCTAGATAGTATACACAAAAAACTTTTATTTAAGTTTTTTTTGTTTTTGTCTAGTCCGATGATAGAGCGAGTAATTTAATCGTCAATTATTTTTAACTAAAGATTTATTTTATTATTGACTTTGTACACTTTATTTAATAGACGTATAACAATTAATACGTTTTAGTTGAGAAAAATGAAGTGGTATTTCGTCTGAGAAACATTACTTTTTCCAGCTCGAAACTCGAAGCGAGCAAAAACATTAACATGTTAAATTACTTATATAATTTGTTAAAAACATACATCGCACCCCCGAACCACCCTATTGGGCACACAACCCCATTTTAGAACGATAGGACGCTATCTTCGGAACACACACAAACTAATAATTAATCATCCAGCATCTTCCCCACTTTTCTTCCCACCCTGCGCCCCCCCAAGTTTAATTCCTGGTGCAAAACACCCCCCCCAGCCCCGGTTTTTTTCCGGAGCATGTTTTCATTTTGTACGTCTGGAGTAAGGAGGGCTTTTTCTGAACGTGCAAATTGAATTTTGTGGTCTTTCTGAATATTTTAGAGGCGGAGGAGAGGATATTGGGTGGTTTACTCTCTCCCTGTACTAACATGCTGAACTAATTTATTTTTTTCCATTTGCAACTCCTTACAGATACTTATTTAATTTTGTGCTGTACTGATTTGCGGTTACGTCTATATCGGATAACGTTATGAATTTATTTAATTTATTTCTATTACAAGCAAGAGTATTTTTAATATACTTGGTAATATTACGAATTTACATTTAAAGAACATAGGTAAGGAATACAAGGATTAGGAGGTAGGATATTTTTTGATCTCGGACAGTGAATAAGCGTGGGTTTCCGAGACTAAAATCCCGTTTCGAACATATTGTTATCTCTGTTTTGTCAAAAATTGGTCTCAGAAATCAACGGTAAGACTTTCAAGTAGTCAATAGTCATGAATAGATTGATAAGGTAAGTATCAAAAGACACAAACTTAACGGTTGTTTATCACATGGTAATTTTTATCTAAATTATCAAATTGCGTGGATTGTAATATATGTTACTAAAAATATTCCGTTTTTATACACAAGCCAACATAAGTTTCATCTTTGAGAAAACATTACGTCACTTTACTTTTTTTTATAAAAAATTTAGGCTTAACATTTAAAGCCGTATATTTGGGCGGAAAGTTTCGTGACTTTTTGAAATGTTTGCCGAAAATTTTCCACTCTTCAAAGTTTCACGGAATTTGATACGTATGAATTACGAATTTGTTATAGAAAATTGTTTGCTCGTTGTTGAAATATTTTTATTTAAATGTTTAAATCATGAAACTATGAAGACAAAAGTTTTTATCTCCGACATTTAAAGAATGTAGGCCTTTTCTAGACAGGCTTTGTCTCGCAGTTTCCTTTCGCTGCAGGTCGAAAACAAAAAAAAAGTTTCACAGGAAGTCAAGTTCTGACCATAGTTTAGTAAGTGGACCATTGATTGAGATTCCTTTGCCGTTGCATTTAAAAAAAAAAGTTTGGAACGATTTTAATTAAATCGTAAAATAAGACATAAAGCTTCGTTCATTTTCAAGCTAAATCTGCACTATAGGACGCTCTTAGTGACCGCTTAATAACTCTGAGTACGGAAGACGATTATATCATTTAAAATCATTTGAATCCCTTTTTCAGTATAGAATATATTTATGCAACGTTCACAGTAAATGGGTTAAAAGGGCAATAACCGTCTGACGAACCTTTACACATTATGACGTCATTCAACTAGATGCTACGTCAATATTTACGTCGTTATTTAAAGTATTTGCTCAATCTATTATATAAAGACTAAGCTATAAGTGTTTAGTTTAAGGTAAAGCAGAGCTGCGAGTTTGTTTTTGACATGATCCAGGAAAAGTTCTTTTGTTTTTCTACATGTACGCTTTGGTACTTGGTCCGTTATGAGTATTTTTAATAAAATCTTCGTCTTTATTAATTGTTTTGACAAATCCAATCCGTCTTAAGAATATTTCCGATTATGTATCTCATGGACAATATTACTAATATTATAAACGCTAAAGTTTAAAGTCTTTTATAAAGTGTGCTTTTGGCAAATGACGTTATCGGGGAAACCAGGAAGTAAATGTATGATATTTTATAGATTGGAATGTAAACTTTATTCGCGAGTAAATCCGAAAAATAGCATATCCAAAATCTAATTAACCGTTGCACCAACAAAGAATCCTTTGTAACATCTTACGTTCGTTGGGGGTTGGGGGGTTAGAGTCCACGAGAAAAATGCACTCCCCCACCCCGTGCGCCGGGGGGTGGCGGCCCACTCCCTAGCGAAAGGGTGGCTGTATACATTTTTTCTTTTCCTTTTCTTAAGACGAAAATTTGTTACGCTTTTTATACCTATATACTGGGGGGAGGTTCGGGGCCCGATCAATAGTGGTGGGTCGCCCCCTTATCATGGCCACCCTTTATCAATTTTTCGTTCTTTAGTTTTTACTTATTATACGTGCGCCATAATTAATTAACGGGTTAGCGGGCTACGCATAAGATAGATGATTTAGGAATTTAGACTGTATTGCTTTGGATTTAGGCCTACAGCGAATTATCGCATATGTTGCGCCCCTGACCCAATATCTTGGGTGATGGTCATTGTTTGGCGCGCTGCCAAATATCGCAGGTGATCCTCTGCTCAGTGTACACGTCGCTAAACTTTTCACTACGATACGTTCCGTTTGACAATTCAAAGGTTATGTTTACATATTAAAAGTTCCTATTTATTATTATACTTTTTAGTTTTCATACATAGTTTAAGACACAAATTAAGTATTTGTTATACTAATTTTTACGCAGTATCTAAGTAGTTATACATCGTAATTTAAATGAGACAAAATTGAGGAAAATATAATCTATACTAATATTATAAAGAGGATATATTTGATATTATTTGTGTTAAGTAAGCTCCGAAACTACTGAACCGATTTGAAAAATTCTTTCGCCTTTGGGAAGCTACACTAACCTCGGGTAGCATAGACTATGTTATTTACTAGATCTTTTTAATTCCGCGAGACAAAGTCACGGACAGTTGGCAGTTGAGAATAATTTGAAAGTTACGTTTTTTGCCAGATTTACATTTAAGCAAAATGGTAAGACAAAAGTGATTCAGCTATATTAGGCTTGACGTCTTCTCAAACAGAAGGGAAATTAATGATTTGTGTTTGCGTTTTGGCAGTGTAAACCTAAGTATTCTATAGCTCGAGTTTATAATGTTTGTATATATTTTGGCTTCGTTTATCACAAATTATCTTTAAGTCGGGTGTGCTTTGAGCGTAAAGTGGTGCATCTTGTAGTATCTTTTTCAACCTTTTCCCCCTTCCTTATCCTTTAGCGACGCTATTAAAAAGTCTCCGAGATGAATTATAAAGAGACATTTTTCTTATCCGACTGGCTAAAGACTTTTGTATATTAAATTCTATTGAATCGTTCCTTTTAGGTATATTACATTGGCCAATGTCAAAATTCAATTGTAATTTATTGTAAAAACTGTATGTTTTCATTTCTTAAATACTCGCATGAAGTAAATCATCTCTCTTGTTCTCTTTGCAATAAATAGAGATAGCGTTACGTTTTCTTTTCTAAACATATCTTAATTGTTGCAGATGGAGGTTGAGATATGGCAAGTCATCCATTGTTTTCTATATTTTTAGTATAAAATTCGTTATAGTTAGGTTTACTCTTACATCAGTGGAAATTTACAGGTAAATCTTTTTTAATTTACAAAGAAGCCTTCGTAAACAACAAAGGGAACTTTCAAAATTCATAGTAAACGTATTTTTGATATCGAGCTATTAATGAAGGCGAAGTTTTACGTGCTTTTATGCAACTTTTAGTTGTAAATGCCGGTTCGTTACTCGGTCTGTTGGTGAAATCTTGTAAACTAATTTATACCCACTCCCGGGCTTTCGATATCCTACAAACTTCTCTCATATGTTTCACATATTTAACTACAACAGACGTATTATGAAACTAAGAATTTATAAACTTTAATTATTTTAAAGTTTGTATACGCTACTAACTTTGTTGTTTATTCAAAGTTTTTTTCGAAGAATTGGATTTTTTAAATGTTTATGCTCGACTACTTGTAGATATTTTACAATCATTATAAAGTTTTCGTTTTATGAGCAAACCGTCGGAATTAAATAACAACCTTACGATAAATATACATAAATCTAAATGCAGTGTTAAAATTCAAGCGATGTTCTACTCCGCGTAAAAACCAAATGCACGTTCAGAAAAAGGGTCCATCAATCGTATTCGAACACGAAGCAACACATAACCTTAAATGGACATGTACAACGGAAAAACAACACTACGCCTCATCAAACACGTCGAACGCAGCCGCTAAAATGCAAATCAACCTATTAAAGACAGAAGCAAAGGGAATTTACATTAGAACGTTTGAAAAACGCACCTAAGCCGGTCATCTAATTAGTAGAAACAATGACATGTCGGTTGCGCGGGAGCGGACGCCATCTTGTTTCGTCAGCCAATCGCGTGCGCGGACTCAAGGTCGTGCGCAATGTCAAAACTCGCTTCCTAGCAAATTGTCTAGGTTAGCTTGTTGCTACGTTAGATATCGGTTCGGCAGCCATTTTGTTTTGATGCGCGCGTATCTTTTATCGTTTGCGCAATGGAGTTCGCGGCGCCCCGATAAACGGAGCAAACATTGGCCTTCGTGTTAATGACTTAAAGTTAAGGTTGGTATTGCAATATGTTGAGTTTGTTAGATAATATGTTAGATACTTACATATTCTGTACATACTATACATTAAATGCACAAAATTTTAACACTAAGAGCCAATTTCCACGGGGGCGCCACATATGCATGAGCAACAGTCGTTCAGTGGAAATAGGAAGTAACATCTAACAAGTGCAATACTCTAATTTAGAACTTTCTCTATCAAATATGAGTAAATACAACAACGTTACACTTGACTCATACACTAGAACTATGAAATGTCCAGTGTATATTCGATTTCTAAGTCCAATTAACATTGTAAACTTACCACGTGCTTGCAGTAAACATTGATAGGTGTCAAGTTCGAAAGATAAGTGTGGTATACAATCTTCATTCAGCATTTATGATATTAGAGGAAAATACCAGCAGACTTTTAGACGATGATGCTTGCGAAGAAAAGGAGAAATATATGTTTAGGTGTTTCGCGCATTTTAACACGTTAGTAGCTACACATCATTTTTGTATATATCAAAGGAATCTCACGCAATGAGAGTCGGTGGCACTGAACGTGTTAACGATGAATGTAGGAAGCATAATGTTACTAATATTATAAATGCGAATGTCTAGATGAATGGATATTTGTATGAAGGTATCTCCAGAACAGCTGCATGGATCTCGCTGAAATTCGGCATAGATGTATAACATACCCGAGAACAACACATAGGCTACTAAATTTTTTTAATTCCACGCGAATGGAATCGTGATACAGCCAGTTATAATTAAAAGTTGTTACATTAATAAAATAAGTATTAATATAGAGTACACAAAAACAATAAGATATAGAGTTATTTATGTAAGACGTTATAAATTAGATTTCAATATCTTCCTGCTTGCGAAGTGTCTACGATAGCTTAATCTGTGTGACCTTTGATTATTTGTAGGTCGTCTGCCACTTAGTGAACTCAATTAGAGGAGTTTGAAAATCGATTAATAATTACATTTCATACAAGGTTGACGATTATTAATAATAGAGATTTGAATTGATGGTCGATTGAATATTCCTGAGAAAGGTTGCTAGGTTTTTGTTCAGTAATTTGTCCATTTAATGCATTTCATAAAATACTAATTGAAGAATTTAAAAGTACTTTTGATTTCTTTTTTTATATGGAACTAGCGGTCATGGAGGTAAAAAAATAAGATACTTATTAGCCTAGGTGTTCCTCCAGACTATTTTTTATATGTATGCCAAATTTCATCAAGATCTGTTCAGCCGTTCTGGAGATACCTTCAAACAAACATCCATCCATCTAAACATTCGCATTTATAATATTAATAAAGTAGTAAGATTCTTAAGTGATTAAAAATTGTTTAAGCAACTTTGGGTATTACAGTAAAGCGTATTTTGTCTTTTCGAATGATTCCATGAATACTTTCTATTAGTCGAAGTAATTCTCCGGTTTAGTAACTCGTTGACAAAATTCTAGGAAAATTTATTACATGAACGACCATGGCGAGTTTCTAAGGTCCCAAAGGTTAAGCTTTCTCAGTGGTTTGGGGACAGATATGAGGTATGCCAAATAGAGATTCGAATGTGAGGTCATGACCTCACAAAAGGGTTATACGAAAGTGTTGCGTACGACGACTTAACATTCTTGATGTTTAGAAATAAAGGTACAGGAATAATTCACTTCTTACTGTGATTTTGCAGTTTAGTAACATTTGTACAAAATATATTACTGCTATCTCTGTTTCTTTGGAGAGAATGAAAGAGATGAATATATGTTTTCGTATATATTTTTCGAGGGTAAAAATTGACTTTTAGAAAATGTCCTAGCAGTTTTGTACACAAGCAAACCGTCATCATATGAGCTATAATGAAGCAATAGAAAATGTTCAAGGTCAAATGACATTTCATCGACATGGGAAGGAAATTAATGTCCTCGACTGTATAAATATAAATGGCCGAGAATATTCCACGGAAGCTACAATAACAATTTTATTTAGAAACTCACACATGGAGTAGCACATTAACACTAATTGAATTCGCCATATTCAAAAGCTTAGCGGTTACTAAGCGAAGCGTTTTGTCCTTGCTAAATAAATTGTTTACACAGACTCTTGTGAAATGATTTCAAAACAAAGAATTAAATTAAATAATGTTATAAAAAGAAATCTGCAAGATTATGAAAGAAGAGACGTAATATTTTTTTTTTTACTTTTACAATGACGTCAAAGGATCTGGCAATATTCAGTAGTTAACCTATAAATGTTGCTATAATTATTAAAAAAGAAAGTCGGCGGTTAAAAATAATGATATAAATTTCGTGCTAGGTCAATGGTGCCAAAAGTTTCAAAAAGTTTACTAGGGTTGCATCAGATAATATGGTTTTTAATTTATTTAATTTTATGCAAGAACTGTCCATATTGTTAATTTAAATATTAGACACGAAAAACTCTTTGCCAATTAACTTCTAATCTTTGCATACATAAACGACAATTTGTTTATTGTGGTTAGCTAACAGTTTTTTTTAGTTTCGATTTTGTATGCTCGAATAACACAAAGATCCCAGGAGTACAGAAATACTAGGGAGTTAGTAATGTCGTAGAGATGGTTCCCAAATCGCGTAGCAGCAAATTGCTACGGCAAGTTATTCGTGGATTAACCCAAGCGACGGCAGTTTGCGTCGGGCGAGACGTACCTTCCTACACCATAGAGATGTCTACGTATCGATATAAGGTCTTGGTTTCACATTGCTTATAAACATAAGATTTTTTTCTTTTAAGTATCAAATTGGTATTGATTAAGATATGTTGTTACGGATTATTTTAACACATTGAATGCCGACTGCTCGACCGGCTAACACTTCACTTCAATAGTAGCAAAACAATGATAAAAATAACGGGTCATCTGACGATAAGAGACAGTCATTTATTAATATTACTACAATCTGAATGTCTGTATGAAATATCTAAAAGAAAAATCATATTTCTGGAAATGGCTGACCGATTTTGACGGGTCTTTGTCGGGAAGGTAGCTAATGCCAGCGGGCATGTAGTATGTTACTTTTTTTTAAATTATACGCTGTTAAGTCGAGGGAGCCTGCTAGTAATTTGATAATTCTGTGTAGGACCATAATATGATTATGAATAATACAATGAAACTATCGAGTACATTTGAAGTCACAACGTCCCTATTTATTTTAAATTGCGTTATATTACAATCAGAGACTACGGCGCTGTGGTGTTTCCTACTCTGAAACTTTCAGTGGAGGTTACACAAAGAGTTTTCAGCCATTGAAAACTCACGGGAAAACGAACCTTAAATCCTTACGACTACCAGCCGGTTTCTCCTGCCAAGACGGTAACGTTTTCTATGTTGTTTTCGGATGCAACTTATTTGTGAAAACAGGAGCGAGTGAGACGATTGTATGGAGGTTTAATGTTGGTGGGAAAGGGAGGGAAATACGTTAAATTTACGAAGCCACAGGTGGTGCACCTCGGGTACAGGCGGAGGTAATATTGGACCTGCTTAACGTGTTTTCTACGTATTTGTATTTAACTATTGAATATTTAAGATTGACGTAGTTTAAAACTTTAAATACAATTTGGAAACGAAACTACTAATGTATTTTGTAGTCTTTTTCATATTATTTCCCAGCATCTTCATCTATAAAGATCTTATTATGAAGTGTAGTCATAAGAAACTATATTTTTTTTTATGAGAACAGGAAGAAGTTATTTCCAAACCGCTACGAGTTAGAGTCCTACAAGAAACGAACGTATCACCTCAAATGCCAGCAACGCATTTCGATCGGGCGTCGACGAACAGCTCGGTGTTCGCGCTGCTCGTTTGCCCCCTTGTCTCATACTCAGATTCGATAAATAAATACTCACCTATAATTAAACTCTTCTTAGTGATTTAAATGACTGACTCCGGC